TGCCGTATCATTTACACGTAATTCGCGTTGAACTCTGCCGTACCGAGAAACAGCCCCGCGTAAAGTTCCGCCGTGCCTAAGAGGTTAAACGCGTTTTCCTCAGAATTGCGTTTTTCAAAACGGTGGGCAAGATATCTCGAGTTCTACCTTAGAGTTATCTTTACTACAATATCTATTAGGCATTGACGATCGATTTTTTTTTACATTTTCCCGTTATTTTGTGAAATATGAATAAAAAGGTAAGAACTTTTTTACCGAAATTCAATCGTTAAGTTTAAAGTATCTGCCGTTTTGTTGATTTTCAGGAAAATTGAAATGTCGGATCGTCAATGCCTAGAGAATATATCACGGTTCGTGACATTTTTGGGATTCTGGATGTGGTTAATTCGATTTGCAGGAATCTTGTGCACCAGTTGGCCATCTGGAAGAAAAGATATTCCGAGCCAAGACGGCGAAAGGCATAAGAAGTATTCTTTTACAGCTCATAGTATAGTATTCACTTTTTGCTGCACTGTCGTTTAAAAATCTTATATTTTACCTAGTTGTTACCGTGTCCTAACCCCTTAAAGCCCAATTTTCCCCCTTTTTCGGATAATGCAAACAGCTTAAAACCACGTCGAACGCTAAATAAACGAATAAAACAGACTTTGTATCAGAATATACGGAAGAAATACAGAAAGAAAGAAAGAGTTGGACCGTGCAACGCGTAAACGTGCGCGCAACCGTGAATTAAAGGTTAGGAAATCGTTCGTAAAGGTTCGAAACGAAAAGATGAGAAAAATGAAGAGAAATGTTTACATGTTGGCGAGAGGATACTTACCAGGCCTACAATGTTCATCATCAGTCGTTCGGTTCGAAAGGAAAGACCAAGGACGCGTCCAAGAAAGCTAGGCATCAGGAACGCGAAACTGTGGATGTTGCCGGGGGACCAGCGAGTCGTCGATTGCACTAGTGCCGATCATCGTCGGCTTAATCTGTCGATTGAAGAGCACTCAACCATAGAAACCACTTATTCGTTGAGTATCACCCGGGGGAATTTCGAATGGGTTTCGTTCGTTCAACCTTCACGTTAATTTTGACGCCGGACTTTGCCGTCCAACCGCTTCGATTTCGAACAATTGACGAGAGCGCTGCGAGGCTCGATAGACAAAACAAGAAACGAGTGGGAAATTTGAAATTGGAAATTGTCGTATCAGTCGTATAAAAGCTAAAATGACTAATTTCGCGGGATGAAATTTGTCGAATTTGTTTTATTTAGGAGGAATTAAGTAGCGAGCGTGTGCTTTGATAGTAAAATTGGAGGAGTAGTAGAAAGGGGAGTTAATTGCTTTGGCTTCTGAGTGGCTTGTATGATAATAGATGAGGATTCGTTTTTTGTTGTGTCGTAGTAATTTTTCAGCTGAGTATGAAAATTAGGACCATTCGTCAATTTATAGTAGCGTCGGATCTGGTGCCAAATTGTTTGAATTGAATTAAGATTTTGGAATTAAATTGAGATTGAAAATTAAATAAAGATTTCAGAAATAAATAAAGACGTTGCATTAAGATTTAGAATGAAATTAAGATTGCAGAATTAAATTGAGATTTAGAAAAAAATTAAGATTTGGAATTAAATAAAGATTTCAGATTTAAATGAAAATTTTAGAATTAAACAAAGATTTCAGAATTAAATTAAGATTTAGAAACAAATCAAGA